AATTAATATGTACTCATATTACCCTAAAAACTATCAGGTCGGTGCAGTGTCCTATGACATTTATGTACCAAGTGTCATTGAAATGTAATGATTACTACTTGAAATATCAAAAGCTGAAAATTAATTAATTATGCAAATTAGCTAATTAATATATACTGATATTACCCTAAAAACTATCAGGTCTGTGCAGTGTCCTATGACATCTATGTACCAAGTTTCATTGAAATGTGATGATTACTACTTGAAATATCAAAAGCTGAAAATTAATTAATTATGCAAATTAGCTAATTAATATATACTGATGTTACCCTAAAAACTATCAGGTTTGTGCAGTGTCCTATGACATATATGTACCAAGTTTTATTGAAATGTGATGATTAGTACTTGAGATACATTGTGTATCAGTGGAAAAGCCGAAAATTGATTAATCATTATGCAAATTAGGTAATTAATATTGCACAGATTTCTACCCAAAACTAGTCAAATCTGCACATTAGTTTGGAGCATCTGTGTGCCAAGTTTCATCAAAATCCAATGAGTGGTTCTTTAGATATCAGTGGAACAGTCATGGAACAGCTAAAAATCAGCTAATTATCATGCAAATTAGGTAATTAATATGCATGGATTTTTACCAAAACCTAATCAAATCTGTGCATTGGCCCAGAGCATCTATGCACCAAGTTTCATCAAAAACTGATGTATGGTTCTTGAGATATCAGTGGAACAGATGGACGGACACACATACACACACCCCCACACACACACACATACAGACACACTAACTGCAAAGACTCCCTTTTTGTGCTTCGGGAGTCAAAAACAAAATGACGAGCATCAAGGTCCCATAATGTCCAATGTATTTACCAAGTTTGAACAAAATCGATCTGTAAACGGCCGAGAAATGCTTGATTTCGATGATTTTTCAGTACAAAAATTGATGTGCATATTTATAATATTATGACACATGGACGCAGAGAGGTTAATCCATAAGTTCCTATTTTTGGACTGCATCCTAACAGGGACTAAAAATCATCAAATAGTGGTTATCCCCACCTCGCTAAATATAACAGCCATTTTATTGATAGATGTAATTGAAACCTACCTTTAAGTCTCTGTGTACAATAGGAGTTTGACAATGATGTAATCTAGATACTGCTTCACAGACATCACAAAATATACGCAATACTTCACCTTCAGTAAAACCAATATTTATTCGTTCATTCATTAACTGTATTACACTAGCTGAAAGGTGAAAACAAAAAATAAGACATGACAGTGTAACTGCAGCCTAGACATATTACCGTTGGTCTATTCAAATACACGTACAAAGCTTGAAAAAAATCCATCTATGCAAAATAAAGCAGATGAAAACATGCTGGACCTGTGAAATAACAGCAATCTTATACACTAACTGACTTCAAAAGAATTGAATTTGATTTTTGTGACTGACCTCCTACAGACCAGTGTTGTATAATAATCTTAAATTTCACATAAAGTTCTGATTCATGCCTTCTATGCAAGTGTTTCATCTATTTTACATTAGTTTGCAAAAAATAGAAACCACATATTTTAAGAACTTTGTCCAACAAGAATGTGACGACAATAGAATACAATATACTTACTTCTACAGTACTCCATCAATATTAATACTTCATAGACATCAGTGCTAGATCTTGTAATGCTTGAATCAACATAAGGAATTATATTCTTATGACCATTTAAAGATGACTGTAAATGAAACAAGCCATGCATGGCACAGTCCCTGTTAGTTATCAAATTTAAGAATTATAGTTTTGTTTATAGTACCGGTAATATACAAAAATGTAGCTGGAACATAAACATGTCAGGAATATGATTATGATGATTGTTTAACATATTTTGCTCTAGAACAGCATTAATTAAAACAAAATCAGCTATATTGAATACATGTATAATGAATATATAAAATTTGAACATAATCAGTCAAAGCATGTCAGAGATATGGCACTAGAACTGCATTCAATAATACATAATGGCCACCATTCAGCCATTTTAAAATCCGATCTTCAAATCAATATATCTGTACATCTATGAGATGAATAATAATGAATATTTAAAATTTGAAGATAATCAGTCAAAGCATGTCAGAAATATGGCACTAGAACTGCATTCATTACAACAAAATGGCCACCAGTCGGCTATTTTGAATCTGATCAGAAAAACAAAATGAAGTGCATCAAGGTCCCATAATGACCAATGTATGTACAAAAATGTACCAAGTTTGAACAAAATCCATCTGTAAACAGCCGAGAAATGCTTGATTATGATGATTTTTCAGTACAAAAATGGCTACCAGTCCACCATCTTCAATCAGATCGTGAAACAAATTGATGTGCATATGTATAAATATTATGTATGATGTATGTGTGAAGTTTGAATGCAGGGTTCTCCACGAGGGGTTTTAACAGGGCGCCGCGCCCTGTTATCTGAAATTGACGCCCTGTTTAAATTGTCAGCGCCCTGTTATATTTCCTATGCGCCCTGCATGGTCCCAGACAAAGAATTGTTTTTAAAACAGACCATCACTCATTGTCTTCCGAAGATGATTCATCATAATTGGTTTATTGTTTTAAGGTGCAACTGTAAAAATCCCGCTTGTTATCGTAGCAGGTTATTGTGAGGTGATAACACAAGCGAACAAAAAGTTGCAAGTTTTTCAACACGATTAAAATTAAACTGTGGCCCCGAAAAGTGTATTACCGTACCCATATTTTTAATGCCAGGGTGACATCAAATACTGTAAAAGGATTAATTATTCACTGGGTTTTAATTTTGCTTATTTCTCTAACTGGAAAATGCGCTAATTTAAAACCTTGTGAATATGATTGAAATGGTAAATCAGTGAAATTTAAACCCAGTGAAAATTAGTCATTTTACAGTATATAAAATCAATATTGGTAAAACCATTCATTAAAACATAAGGTCTATGGTTAAAACCAAGTTCACACCATGACTTGTAGCGGCAACATCGTCACCGCCGAGCAGAACAAAGGCAGCCATGCACTTGCATGATCGGTAAATGACAAGCGCAGCCGACGTGCCATCACAGACATTGCTGATTACCAAGAAGTCCACATGAATAATTGCTTAAACATGTAAATGTTTATATTTTGACGAACGTCACTATTCAAAGTTGAATCTTCTTTAAATCATGATTTAAAAACCCTGGTAAAACGGTAATTCTTTCAACTCGCATCATAAGTGGAGGAAATAAATTTACTTGTGTTCTTCTTGAAACAAATATTCTGATTGGTTGTTTTTGGCGTCAATGCGTGGCTTTATCCAATCAAATTCGTCGTTACACAGTATCGGGGCACACACTAAAATGAACTGTTTCTGGGTCATAGCTGTTTTCAACGAAGCAGACGTCAACAAACATTCGATTCGAATGAAAATTATTTTTTTTAAGTATGTATTTTTGTTATACATAATGCTATTATTTTTGATAGAAACTGTTAATTGCAGATCGAAAATCTTCTATTGTGTAAATTATATTTCGTTTGATCATCTTGCTTTTCGGTGCCAATGACGTACATTCATGCAAGTTTTTTTAATGAAGCAATTTTGAATATAAATTTTATATTTTATTTTAAAACAAAATGACAAACTTGTTCAGTCTTTTTCTAGACACGATCATTATTGGTAAACAACTAATATAGCCGTATGTGTGGAGCTCAAATCAGCTGATTGTATGTTGTGACGTTTACTTAATGTTCTTATTCATTTATGGAAAATATTTTGTAATAAATAAATAAATATAATATATATATATATATATATATATATATATATTATGCATATGTAATTGTACCATAGAATTTTGGTTTCCTTTTTTCAACATCTATGCCAATGATGCATGTTACAAAATGTCATGTCAAAGGTCAAATCCCACGCCCACTCCACCTTCACATTGGCACGCCCTGTTTAATTTTCAAACCGTGGAGAAACCTGGAATAATGTAATCGGCCATGGCATGTCTAAGATATAGGTCACACACAGACACAATCCATAAAAATTGTGATAGTTGGGTATCAGTTAAAATAATGTCCTTAGCCAAAGATGAAAGTATGATAAATTTAATGTGTAATCCATAAGGAATCTTATTTCCTATATTATCTCTAGCAAGCAGCAGTAGATGCAATCCATGGCATTATTTTTTCAAGGACTGCATGCTACACATACAAGCATAATGATATTCAAACACTGTAGTTCAACACACACAACAGCATTTTTTTTACCTACTATTGAATGCTCGCAATTACCCACCATAATTTTAATCTCACGTTGACATATTTGTAAGTCATGTTCTTCATTTACATACATCCTCTTCAAGGCATACTTCCTGCCAGAGCTTCCTCGTACAAGAAACACTATAGCAAATCCACCTGAAAATAAGCCCAAGAAAAAATGTCTTCATTAGAATCAATGCAATTGAACAATTCACCCCGGTATGTCAGCATCCTTTATTCTATGTTTTTGTCATATTATCTCAAACCCTGCATAGAAGTGTGCATGGAATCATGTAGACTGGCGCAGTCAAGGTGATTAATTTGTTTTTGTAGTTTAAATAAAATAAAAAAAATCGAGAAATGGAGGTGTTAGCGCGAAATCCCCTGTAACTACGAAATCACCCCGACTGGTTTATTCTGCATGGCCCTCTATCGACACTGCAGGAATCCGTCCATTTTTCAACGGGT